ACCAGTGTGAGCATATATGCACATGGTCAACTACATATTAAACTTTTTGAGAATTCTCGTTGGTTTCTCTACACAAATTCTATACTAACTGAGGAAATTCCTGGGCTCGGCCGAGGAAAACGAACAAACACTGCATAGCCCACTTCAATCGCCACTCCTTGTTTGGTCGCAAGTCGAACTGTGAACGGCGGAGTAGTTGATGCTAAAGACACCGCGTTTGTGCCCAGCCTGACGAAATCAGTGGTCAAATATGTTTGGTAAATTTGCATCTTTTCTTACGAGTTCCATTGACAAATTTTTGACTGGCCTACGAAAATCGAACTTTAATTTCGAATTTGAATTCTATTTCCATGAAAAACACCTTTTACTCTAGGAAAATCAATTTTCGTTGTTTAAATTTCCTCAATCTGCTATTGAAAATGTTTAAACACGTCACTCACCGTCGTAATATCGATTGCTCTTCAACCGTCAGGGCTTCCTTCCCGAATTGGCTGTGGAGTGGTAACACCAAAGGCGTTGCTTTCTCAGGCACGTTGAGACCAGCGAGAAGATCGACCAGACGAGCCTTCGTCCCCTCATCGATCAATCCCTAAAAACAGCTTTGGGGAGAGGGAACATATATTCACTATTCTCAGCTGAGCTCAAAAGAGTTTCCAAATTATAGAAATTCGGGTAGAAGTGTACAGAAACCAACACGAACCTCCCAAAAATTTCCTCTCACAATTTTCATATTGTCACCAACACATGTAGTTGACCATGTGCATATTTTCCCACACTGCCAAAAGAGTTGCAATTTCGAGGGCTGCTTCCCGTGCTCACTTCATCATCGCCAAAAACGCCGCTTTCTGATAACCAAGCAGTTGCCATCGTAAACATACTCCTCGAAGGACCACCTTCACCTTAAAACGATTATGCATGGGCGAAAAATTCCGTTTCAGTATTCTCACTTAGAAATGTTATCAGCCATTTATAGTGGAATTTGGCCAGGCATTCCAGCGCACTACGTGCTACAATATCAGTGCGGCCCACTGTCGGTGGACTCAATACTGACGATGCACTCACGCTGATGAGCACCTACACCGCATAGATGCATTCCCTGGTCTCGAAAGACCTACTCGAACGAGATCTTCGGGTGCTATTGAAGGCGCGAACGGTGCAGCGGCCTCGAGAGTTTCTCGACAATGCCGTACTAGTGCCTGATACCACCAGAGAAATATATATGCTCCCTTTACTCAGCTCAGGAGTGTTCTCACCCAAATGTACAAAAAAAACAACAAGAATTTTAATCAATTCACAATCTCGATGTTGTCACCAACAACAAACATATTTAACAATTCTCCACTATAGACCCTTGCAAGCGGCAGCTACCTGTGAATTCGGTCCTGAGTTTCTCCTGAGACTATGTAAATTGACACAGTACAGCGCGAGCAATATCCTACCAGCATCCCGAACCTACTCACACTCTCATGCTAAGTCACCCACTCACTAGGCCTTACGGGATTCTTAAGAGATTGACTCTCAGTTATTAAACTCGATGCAACTGCCTCTAGAAGTGCGCCCGATAGAGCTCCCACGCGAGCCCAAGCAGAGATGAGCTCAACCTGTAGTGGTCACATGGGACGAGATGATGTGTGTAGACGTACGCGCGAACAAGTGTCCAACGATGCTAGTAGAGCTCCTTCTTTGGGGAAGGCTCCAGATAGGAGGGGGAAGTTCCTGAACAACATCCCCATCGTCATCACCCCAGTATATATAGTGTAACGGTATCACGCCTGCTTTTCATGCAGTAATACCCAAGTTCTATTCTTGCTGCGTTCATTTTTTCTTACCGGTATTGAATTGCCGTCACCGAATCCGCCGTGAACTTCGACATCGCCACTCCGATCGTCAACAACTGTTTCCCTTGGAACACTGCGAGCCTAGATGATATCTAAATACCCAGGGCAGAATGCACTCATTGACCGAATAGTATCTTGTGAACTTCTCAAATGATTCCGAAGAATGCGACAGAGCTCCGATAAAAACCTCTCCCGAATTCAGATATCTCCAACGTGGAACGGTTATTGCTGACAAAAGCGCGCGCCCAGATGCCTCCCCACCTCGTGCCACAAAGGTCCAAGGGCGTCCCCATCCTGCACTCTTCCAGCAAGTCTCGATAACGCTTCTGTCACCAGAGTAATATGACGACAGTCATATGCGTGCCCATGGCGCTGTACATGTAAACTTATCGTCTGAAAAAAACACCAGAGTACACGAACACCGACGAGTGATACGCTCAGGTGCAGCATGTAACTCTTTTATTAGGTCGTCGCTCTTGTATGACTAGTGTGAATTGCGGAGCGAACGAAGCGAGCGGAGCATATACCGCAACAACAGGCACTTTCGCGTTGTGCGTGCGTGCAGAATTATTCTGGCTTAACTACGAAGCGTAGGAGGCTATCAGATAGATCAAACGACTCCTCTATATGCGGAGGTGTCGGCGGATCAAAAAACTAAATTATGCGAACAGCTCGAAGAGATACATACGAAAAACTTCAATGATGGAGAAATGTCCTGCCCGGGGATCGAACCGGGCATTTATGTAAAATTCATTGATTGAGTCCATGGACGTGGACTCAGTGAGCTCCGCCCCTTCGTCACCAAGGCCTAGTCATACAAGAACACCGAGTACAGTGGGAATGACAACACTCCCGAAATATATGTTTGCTTTCCTCAGTGGAGCTCAGGAAATGCCTCACTCATTATGCAACTTTCAGTGTGCAGATACAAACAAAAATTTCCTCACAATTTTCATATCGTATTTTCCCATACACCAGTGGCAGACCTGTACGAAAATTATGGTATAAACTCCCAAGGTAAGCGGAACGGCCAGTCCTATCCGATATGCATTCTGTCGTTGTTTATCATCATATATCAACAAGTCCAACTCACGCGCGACAGTCCCTCCGCGTCGTAGAGTCCAGCGTCACCAGCAGCCGCCAACTGTGACACGAAAACAGCGAACTCTGAGGCTTTCCATTCTCGTAAGCAGAGACGATGACCTAAAACTCCCATATGGAGTACTCCTACTACAATGTTGTTGGAGGAATATATGTTCACTTCACTCACCGATTTACATGAAAATTCTGGTAGAAATTTACAGAAACAAATAAAAAAACTCCAAAAATTTCCTCACAAATTCTGAGCATTTGCATATCCCTCCAACACTGCTCCACGATCTCACATGCATAATCGTAAACGGCGTCGATCATATCAGCCGCCTCTCCCACCACCTCCGTACTATAAAAGTCACTCGCCTTACAAATCTTAGATAACAAACCTAACAACACGTTATTTCTCATTTAATGAGCGTCCCTACTTGCGAGTTGTATTGCATCTAGAACATTCACCCGATCGGACTCCTCGGAAGACCACCATCGCAGGATGAGCCGAGCCAACCGCTCTGATACCACACCTTTGTTAATCTCCGCGAAGAGCACCATCGTCGACAAGAACTCCTGCGAAAATCTATATCAACACTTATAAAAGAAAACACGAATCGCTTCACTCGTGAGGTCATCTCCTTAGAGGTGTTGCAATGACAACTACACCACTGCTCCTCGCATAAGTGTATGAGCTGGCGATGACCATTTCTGGCTAATCTAAGATACAAACAGTGTTGATGGGGGAATAAATATTGCCAATTTCATATGTGTGTTTCCATTCTGAGATTAATGATAGTGACCAACTTGTCGCCATCATAGTCTCGAAAGGTTACTTTAATCACATCACACGAGTGATAAAATATATTTTCAGATCGATTCTTATTAATCTCGGAAAATAACACACATTTGCATTATATCAAATTGACAAGCACTCCGTATTTGCTTTCCTCAGTTGAGCTCAGGAGTTTACAAAACTAATCATGAAAATTCGGTACTACTAGCATGCAAAACCCAGCGGAAATTTCCCAAAATTTTCCATGTGCATATTTTCCCACATATTTACGTACCTTTCCTCCTGCCGAACTAGTGCTGCCAGAATTTGATGAATCTGTATAGTAGTCGCCGACTGCGTCAACAACAACCGCTCCACCTGAACTCACAACACTTATACATATTAGTGTCAATCGATTCACATTTTTTATCATGTTGATTCCGAACTCACAAACGTTCAAGGCCTTGAAAACGCCGCACAATATTCAGCGCCAGAAGTTTGCATCTACGACAACTTTCAGTCTCAAATTTCGACTATATGCTGTAAAAATGATGCACATCGTGGAACGCTTCGCTCCGCTGTTCTCGAGACGAAAAGATTCCAGCATGGCATCTATGGATTTGATACACCTTTCTCACGTGTTGAGTCCACGTCTATCAACTCTTCTCACTGGCATAACAAAAAACTACATCGCGCAACTCCAAATTTTTTTTCGCGCCCGACCGCGACGACGACTCACATCTTTAAGTAATTCCTCCATCGTATTAACCATCGTTCGTATCGCTGACATATATGATATCGCACAAGTCACCAGCTGCAGCTGATCAAATAACACCACTCGAAACCCATACGAACATTTCCAATACTTGTTTAATTGAGCTTCGCTCCGCTAAGATACTAGGTCGTAAACGCTTCGCAAGGGCACTCAAAACCACTGGGTCCTTGCAGCTCGCTAGGGCCATACTGTGTAGTATCTGAAGCTATGTAGTAGTACTAGAGCAATGCTAACCACGTCATATGATATTTCTTTATTAGGATGAAATACTGCAGATGATGATTATCAACTAAGGAGTTTCACAACCCGTTCTACGTGGCCTAATACTCTGTGAAAAACCACATATTCGCGGTGAATATATGTTTTTCACTAGTGCTTTCCATATCACGGCTCGTGAAACTCCATTATTTCTCCAAAGGTTTCTATACAGGGATACTGCGAGTAGATTCCCCAAGCTCAGTGTTGGGTAAATATATGTTCGCTCAGCT